AAGTGTGCTTGCGCCAGCAAAGTTTGAATTAGGCTGACCTGATTATTGTTACACAGTGCTTAAAAAAATGCATATTGTTCACTGAAAATGAAGTAGAATTAGCCTGTCCTTAGAAACCAGCAAGGAGGGTATTAATTCTTGATCTGGAAAACAAAGGATGTGCATTTAATTAGCTAATATATTTTGCTCACTACTGAGATGCTACATCAGCTTCAAGTTACTACAAAGCTACAGTTAAACATTTCTGTCGGAAACAGTGGTGTTTTCTTTTTCTCAAGTCACATGAACTCTCTCTCAGAGCTTACTAATTCTTCCCAAACATGCTGAAATACCATTGCCTTCAGGGAACAGCATTTGTCCTCAGCTCTTCTAGACCCAACACAGCTCCTCAAGCAAATGCTCATCAGAGAGCTGGTTCCCCAACACCTGGCTCTTCTTCCACTGGAGAACTGCCATTGACTTTGCCAAAACTGTGAACCTCAGAAGAGATGTAACTCTTACCTCCATTCTGTCTGCTGGAGAAACAGACCCATGAGGCATAGACAGGCTTCCACAAGTTTCACAGTGAGTCTTTTGCAGAGACAGGAACAAAACTTAGGTCCACCCGACTTCCAGTTCTGACCTTTGAACATGAGATCCATTGCAGGGACAGAGAGACCTTCAGTGTGCACTAGGGGCACCTCCCAGGGTAGAGGCAGTGGAATGGGGGACAGCCACATTCTCTTCCCCTCAAGTCCTCCTGCCCCATGCCAGCAGGTCCAATCTGGACCACACTGGATGCACTGAGGTCAGCTTTTGCAACTCACTTGGTTCAGAAGTGATCTGTAGAGTTGACCTGGCAGAGAAATCTCTTGGGCTGCAGAACAGATTTTGCTTTAGTCTCAGTATAAGCTGTGATTTACTTTTCTAGCAAAAGCTACTTTATTAAACACGAGGTTCTATAAAGCTTTTCCTTGACCAGAGCAAGGCTAGAAGTTACCTACCAGATTCTCACAAGAGAATATAAGCTACCACCACAGCCTGAACTGGCTCCATATTGCCCCTCCGTCAAGCCAAGTAAGGCCTCAGAAGCTCCATTGCATACCCTTGCCTCTGCTCACATGTCTGAAGAGGGCGAAGAGGTGGTAAAGCCAAGATCGAGCCTGTCCAAAGTAGGAATCCACATTCTTAGGCAGAGAATACAAGTAAGGTTTATCCAGAGAATAAGAGACTGAGTCTCTCCAGAGTATCACTGGTCCACTCTTTAGCTCTGTAACGGTTCACAGGATATTATGAGATGTAGTCCAAGACTGCCAGCAGCAATCACTGTTCAGCAAGGACCTGGGCAAATAACATCTCAACTATAATCAACTCCTGGCTTGTCTCCTCTCTAGAAGTAGAAAAGGTAGTTAAGCAGCTTTGTTCATTATCTCCTTCTGTGGCTTATGCTGTTCAAAGCTAGAATTTTCACTGTGCATTTTTAGCGCCTCCCTTCACTATGCAGAAAAGCAACCAGACAACAGAAATGCATGAGACATCTCCACTTGTACAGGAAACACTTTTGTTATTCCATACCGTCTCAGACACAGGATAAAAAAATCCCATCTGAAACTGTTTTCTGCCATTCTTCCAAGATCCAGTGTGGAAACAGAAATGGATACGATTGCAGCACTGTGGTTTTGTGTTTTACAACTACATGAAATGAATCTCATACATACAGAGGATAAATAATTCCCAATGAGTTACCTATCTGATTTTTTTTCAGGCTTTTCTGTTTGCAGATCACACCAGGAGTCTTCAGCTTCCCTGAATTTATTCATTACTCAAAATATTTACTGAGTGATTTCTAGGGTCTATAGTCATCCTGTAAAGCTTTCAATTTCAGAAATTTAAGCTGCCTTGCTGAGTTGAGGACAGGCATATGTTTTGTGTGGGTCTCCTTAAAGTGAGAAGTCCTAGAATTACATTTTTGGTGCATCTAGAAATTCACAACACACTTTGGACATCAGGAGGTAACAGAGCTTTGCTCAACAGCAGTCCTGTAGTTGGGGATCACAGTATCTGAGAGAGCAGGCAGAGGTCTTGGTGCTCATGATGATGTTGAAGCATATGGGTGTGAGCATTTTTTACTGCCCTCTTTGCGACATGCAGTACCCTGGAGGCAACAAAGCATCAATGCTATTGCTCTGTAAGGTTTAAGGCCAGTAGTGCCTCCTGGAAATAATAATTTAGTGGAGTTACTGATGCTTCTATGGTCACTAATTGGATCTATCAACACCAGGCTCTCTACTAAGTAGCCAAGCACCCTGCAGAATAAGCAGCATCACATTCTGTCACACTTCCAGGGAACACAGCATAGATGAAGGGTTTTACAAGCCTGAAAAAAGGGAATACCCTCCCTGCTCGATTTTTATTAACATTAGAAAAGCTGAGAGAAAAAACAGAAAGGATATCATATCCCAGGAACTGACCATTGATGATAATCTTCTTGATGCCCAGTGGTTAAACACTACTTTCTGCTGGCTTCTGTGAGACAGCACATGTTTGTATTGGTTTTGGCTGGGTTAGAGTTAATTTTTTTTCATAGTAGCTTGCAGGCAGCTCATCAGCTCCTCCCATCCCCATGCTTGGAAAGAAACCAAAAGAGCTGCTTGTGAGAAACACAGAAGAGTCTCCTTCCTTCCACACCTTTGCTTTGACAACTGCACTTGTAAACCATCTTTGATACCCAGCCACACTCCTCCCCTCATGGCCCCTCCTGTGGCCAGAGGTTTATTAAAGCAATTTTACCTCTCGTTCAAAGTTTCAGTACCTTGGACACATTTGGGAGGCCATGAGGTTCTCTGATCATGTCAGAGTATTTGTTCATGAATATTGACGGAGAAAGGGAAAACCACACACACAGAGCCATGCTTGTAAAACCTCTGTGGATCTACTAAAAGGTCAGCCTTTCTCTTCCCCACATCCAGCACCATAATTTTTGGGAACAGATCAATTCTTGCTAAGCTACTGAAACAGACAAATTAACCCAAGCAAAAAGCAGAGATCTTCAAGCACAAGCACGCACTTAAACACCACCACACATAGTTTCCAGGATTGACAGCTGTAAAGTAAAGGAAATCGCTAATTTCACAGTGATTCTGTGTCAACTGTGCTGTTTCCTTCCATCAGGAAGTTCACAAGGCAGGCTTGGGAGCAGGAAACTAGGGAAGAGAGAAGGAGCCCTAAAGAGTTAGGATGTTGAAAATCAATAGTAACTAGAGCAGGAGTGAGAAAAGAGATGCCATTTATAAGTAGTTTAATGTCCTGGCATTGCATTGCCTATTGATTAGAAAGTGAAAAAAAAAATGCAGATGAGGAGAGAGGGACTGATGACAGAAAAATCAATGACTTCTTTACAAGAGAAGTCATTCAATAGTAGTGAAGGAAATTTGCCATTTTGCAGAAATCACATCAGGTGGGTGTGAGCTGGCACAATCTCCTATTCCCCAAAGGAGGAGGATGTCCAAGACTTTCACCTCCCACCTGCCTCTCATTAGCTTGTGCTGCTCCAGAGCTCAGTGGAGCCAGGAGAGAGGAAAAAGCCCAGTTCTACTCCTGAGCCTGTTGCCAATGTGTTGGCTGGCCATAGGCCATCATTTCTGTAAAAGAAATTAGATGATACCTCTTCCTGCTGCCTAAGTGTTGTGCAGCTCAATTAGTGAATGCTTGCATGGTACTTTGAATATACCAAACTGTAGAACAAGCAGCTGTTGCTATAAATACACTGCTGATCACAGAGTACCACTGACTACACTGTTTATTAAGCTTAAACTGAGGAAAACCTCACACTCACTGCGATCTATTTAATAGTTTCTACATTTATTCTACTGTGTACCTAAACACATGCAAGGGGCTAACAGGACAGCTTGATTAGATACAGCTGATCTATGTCATTGCATCACAGTAATTTCACCTTCACACTGCCCACAGCCTGACTGAGCTTGTGACCTGGATCTTTGACAGCTGTGCCCTGTTATTGTACTTTTCTGATTAACATGAAGGCAGGGCATACAGAAGACTCTTTCTAAACCAAGAACACATGCAGGAATGATCACAACAAATGGAAGGATCAAATCACCATGTTGACCACAGGAACACACAGAGATGCAAATCATTATACTCTGTGTCAAGAACACATCCAGTTTTCCAGTAAAACCTTAGAGATATCACTGACTTTCATTGCTCATGTCACCCAGATTTCTCTTACTGCTGCCTTAAATCTGCTGGGACTCTGGTGGGGAATGACAGAGCAAGAACAGGGTAAACCCCCTGGAATGGGCACTGTTCAGGATACCCATCTTGCAAACAACATTTCTAGGCCATCCTGGGCATCTAACAACACATGTCTACATCAGCGTAGACTCGTCAAACTGCCTTGACAAGAAACAGAGAGATCCCTTCACTAATTGACTCATCAGTACAGATAGAGAGGCATCCAGATCATGACTCATGCAGTCTGAGACATCTTACCTGGGATAAAATGAACATGACCTAGAAACATTTTATCCCTGTTGCTATTGATGCCTACAGCAGTGCAATATGACTCCACCCAGCAAGTCAACACAACGTTATCTATATATTTTGTCTGGAAGTGGTGAAATCTCTAGATAAAATAGGAGACATCCAGACTGACAGACCTCTGCTTGCAAACAAGTATCTCCTTACAACAGCTACCAATTGATATTGAGAGCAAAAGCCTCTAAACTAGCAGCAGCCACCACTTCATGCTCCTCTTAGAACAGCATCCACAGTTTCTTCCCATGCAAACTTGCTTCCCTGGAAAAATCAGCAATGACTTGACTCTTGGCTTGAGAGTTTGGTCACCACTGAATGCTTCAGCAAGCCCATGCAGAATGTGATGTAGGGACACGGCAAACACTGGTGTCGATAGAGGGAGGGAGGGAGAGAGACTGTCCCTCAACAGCCCATGTTTTAAGCAGAGCCAAGGACTCACAGGCCTTACCAGCCAGAGCACTCACCAGGTTGACGAAGTCCTGGTAGCAGATCCTCCCCTCAGAGTTGCTGTCTGCCAGGGCCAGCAGAACCTCCAGCTTATGGGGGTCCAGCTCCGAGCCGTGTCTCTGGAGAAGGGAGCGAAACTTCTCAGTGCTGATGTAGCCGGTATTGTCGGGATCGAACTGGGATAGGAGGGGAAAGTGCTAGAATTAACCATACTGCATTACATACAACTCTGCCCTCCTATGCATTCATCACCTGCAAGCAGACCCGCAGGGACCCCAGGGGCTGCTCTAGGCTTTGGTGATGCATTGCTCTACAATCACCCCATCTCCACATTCCTTTCACTGCCCAGGGGCTGCAAAGCACCCTGCTGCAGAGAGGGTGAATCCAGGCATCATCATCCACACCATCACCGTCTCCACCCAAACTTCAGCTAGGTCAGCTCCCTTCACCTTTTTTCCCTTTGCATCATCATTTCTATTAGTTATTTTTTATATCCCTCTTTATCTGAACTATCAAGTAAATGCAGTCTGTGAGATAAAACATACTGAAAACAGTTTTAACTCCTGTGTTTCCTAACACAATTGTAACACAGGAATATGCCATCCTTCCTCAAGCCCCTTCTGTGCAGAGTGTTTCTGGCAGTCACCTTTCCAGATCACCTCTACAGATGCCTTCAAAATGGTAAGTGCTTTCACTGCTGAAGAGTTCTCCATTTTAAAATGGATTGGAAAGAAAGTCTTTGGACAGGGAACAAAGCAGATGAACATTATATCAAACTAAAAGTGACAAGACAGCCACATGCCATTTTCAGAACATAAACCAGAGTGATTAGAAGGAAAGTCCCAGGTGAGATTCGGAGTGAATCTCACTGTGACCAAAAACATTACTATTTTCCCTCAGACTAAATTGTTAATTTCCTAAAAATGCCACTGACCAAAAAGAGACAGCTTTGCAAGGCTGTTCAAACTTACAACTGCTTCCAGTGGCCTCTAGCCCATGCTGAGCTCCCCAGGGCACTCTGTGAGGGGCTGCCAGCCCACAGGCGGGCACACCCCCAGCCCCAACAAAGCCACCACTGGCACCGTGCCGAACACGTTTCTTTTGTGCTTTGAAAACTAGTGGACGCAAGCTGCCAGACCAGCCTGCACTAGCTGTGTTGCAGTCTGATCTCTGCCAGCTCTCTGTTGCTGGGAGATTTGCCTTTGATTTCCCAAACTTGGCTGTGAGGACCCTGGTTCTCACTGGCCTCCTTTTGTGGATAATGATATCAAGCTTGTTGGCTGGATTGAATGGCTGTCAGGGGGCAGGGTGGTCAGGAGGGAGTCTTTTCATGGAAACATTTGGGACATAAAAGGCCTTGGCAGAGCCAAAAAGGTCCTGACAATCCTCACTCTTTCCTAACTGAGAACAAAAGCTGAACAGGTGCCGGGCCTTCAATCAGACGCTGTGGAGTAAAGGCTGCCTTGGCAAGGGAGGAGGTGAGAAGGGGGATGTGGCAGAGGATACAGCCTGCCAGCAGCAGGGCTGGCTTTCCTCTGCAGCAAGCAGAGTGACTATAAAACAGAGCGGCCTCAAGCACAGGCAGCTTGTTTAGAGGATGCAGTGCCCACGTGTGAGGACCTGGCTCTGTCTCCTTCTGGCCTAAGCACCTTTTTCCTGCCACTTCTGGGGACTGTGCTATCACTAGCTGCTGTGTTGAGGAGGAGCTGTCTGAGGGGGGGAGATCACAGCCCCTTGCTGGAAAACGGCTGGTCTGCTATTTTGTCAAAGCAGGAGCCCCTCTGCGAGGAAGCTGCTGGGGCAAGTGATTACACAAGACAAGACAAAGTGACCTGTGGACAGTCAGAGCTGGGCACGCTCCCCCACCCTCTGCCAAGGTTTGTTCTGTCCTTGCAAGATGGCCTGGATATACCTTCCTGACAGCTGGCACTCAGAGCCAAAGGTGGATTTCATCAGCTGTTTACTGTTAAACAAAGGCTTAATTTTAATCCCTGGAGAAGTTTAGCTCCCCTACTCCAGCCCACTCTGATGCTTTGAGTTAACAGATCACATTCTAAACCCAACCCCAAAACCACGGTTTCTACATGCAGGCTCAGCTCTAATGCTTTTTGGCTCTTGCTGGGACTCCCAAGCCAGCCTAATTTTGCAGTGCCCAATCCCAGACGCACAGATCCTCAGGAAATAAAGTATTATTAGCATAATACCTGAGATGACCTTTCTCAAGGGGAATTTGCAGAAGCTGAGAGATGAGTCATTTTGTGAATGGATCTAACACCTGCAATCCCATAGATACTGCTATGTTCATCCTTGTTTCCTGAAAACATATGACCTAACCAACATTTTACTTAATCCCTCCACTTTAACTGTATCTTGACATTTAAGATGTCAGAACCTACTTTGCCTAGGACAAAACCAATTGGTCCTTGAAGGCTTACATGCCTCCCTACTTTGAGATCTAGTCAGTGACTGAAGTGTGGGACTCTCCCCATGCTGTGTGCTCATTGTTTGACTTGGTAGGAAAGACCAACGGCCACAGCCAAGGGGAATGTGGCTATTACATCAAAGGGCAGAAGAGATAAAGAGCTGAAGCACACAGGCTCCTGAAGCACAAGAGAGTTGCTAAGATCACAAACCACTTTTCCCAGACTGTTCTGCTTTAAAGCATTCCAAAAAGAAACATTTTGTAACCAAGAAGAGAAATTACACAACCACTTCAGAGCTTCAAACCAACGCACAAGGACACATTAATGACTCCAAACTCACTAGTGCTAGAGCAGATATGATCTTGTCACTCAAGACGGTACTGTCCATCCCTGTTACTGGCCGCTGACTCTCCAAATGGACAGACAGCTAAAACCTGTGGTGGCTATGAACAAGCCTTTGCACCAAGGATGCTTCCTTCTCACACCAATGGGCACCAGCATTCCTTCTTCAGCTCACTGTCTTACTGCTTGTCCCACCAAAATCAAAGCAGTGGCAGAAGGTAGCTAGTATTTTCAGTACTGGAAATATGCTAGGGAGCCTGTTCTCCTTTTGCAGGTTCCTATGGATAATTTTCTTTTGGCACAAAGTTAATGATACTAATTAGAAATAGGTTTGAATTAAAACAGTGGATCTGAACAGCATGAAAGAGTAATAGGTGAGCAATGAACTGGCATCTGAACTAAAAAAGGCCTGCCTCAGAGCAGGACTAGACCACTGCTTTCACAACTTAGAGCAGAATGTTTTACTGTAAACCCCAGCTGTAAGGGAGTTCTCTTATTTATGTTTAAACAACTTTTTTTCAGCATATGAAAACCTCATCTGTCACTACAGCACTCAAAATCCACCCCAACACTTCAAACTGCCTCCAACTCTGTTTTTGATATCACAGCTAGCCACAAAAATCAAGGAGCTGAGCTGGTCCTGCAGAACATATGTCCCCACACATGGCAAAAACAACATGTGTTGGCACACTCAAAACACTCAGGTCCATCAATTATAAAAGAGGCAACTGACCTTTGCTAGACGCTCCATGTATTTATCCATTACGATGTTGTTAAGTGCCAGTTTTCCCACAAGCCCAGCCGAGCACCTTTGTCTCACTGAGAGGACAGGAGATGACTGGCAGCCAGCAGCACGGCTGTGCTGAGCCACAAGTCCAGCCCCACAGGGAGTGCTCCCCAGGCAAAGCCTCCCAGCAGCTAAGTCAGCACAGTGGCTTCCTTCAGTGTACTTACTTATGCCTCTGCCCACCTACTTGGGCAGACAAGTGCTACACAACCCGTGCAGGCACGAGGAAGGCTATTTGCCCCCCCTCGTCCCCCCAAACAATAGGACACTAACGGCAATTTCATGCAAGGTTTCCTCTGCATTTCAATGACAATCGCCTCTAACTCCCTTGATCCTCAACCAGGCTCTTATGCAAAAATGTAAATATGTTAATGACCGTAGCAGCCATCTGATCCAGGATCTTAATTCCCTGGCCCAAAACAAGCTATTTTTTCCTATTTCTTCCTTATTTTAGAGCAGACACACAATAAACTGAAGGCCTCACAGCAAAACTACAAGAGAAAAATAAGGTGAGGGGGCCCTGGAAACTCTGATGGAAATATGGTTGAGAAAAGAAAATGAAATCTCAAATTGTTCCTCTTCAATTAAAGACACATCAGCCACAGCTGAGTGAGCAAGTAGGGTGGAGGCTGGTGCTGCAGACAGACAATGGGTGTCTTGGGAAAACGCAGACATTTCACATAGCCCAGCCAGCTGCTCCTCTCCCCCATGGCAAATAGCCCTCTGGGGCATCAGAGCAGCTGGAGTCAACAGCTGAGCCAGGCACAACATGAGGATCCTTGGCTGGCTTTAGGATTGCAGATCTATTGCAGGAACAGAATTTGCTACCATCCATGGTTTCATCATTGAGGGACTTTGATTTGGCATCACCCAAGCCATAAGTTGTTTTCACAATTGGCAAGGCCCCGAGCAACTTCATCAAAATCAGAAGTTGAGTTGGATCAGTCCCTTCAACCCTGAATCATTCTATGATCTGGTGGTATCCTCACTGCTGGGAGAGACTGGCCTGGCAGTCAGGCCTCCTGACACTGACCCCAGCTCTGCTCCAGACTAAGAGGCAGATTCTGGAAATAAATTGCCGTGAGCTCTAGCTTCACTTCCTATTACAGGGAAATAACAACTTCTACTTTATTTCCCACCAGAAGGGAGCTATCAATAGTAGACCTACTTCTTGTTCATGGGTAGGCCTTTTCCCACTTGAAAGGGGGAGTCAATCACATGCAAAATCTGTTCAACTCCAAGGGTTTCAGAAACCACTCTGAGCTTTGCTGGATTTGAACTCAGACGGTTAGTTGGCATAGTCTTTGCAATCGAAGGATGCTAATGTGCTCTGGAAACAACCAGACTATCTCTAGCTTCAACGGCCATGCTGGAGTTAAATCAAGAGTCGCCAAGTCAATACATGGAATTGATAGACTTCAAGTTGAAGCTGTGAAAAGATATTTAAGGCAGTCACTGAAAGTCTCCTCACGATAGTCACACATTTTACCAGAGCCCATTCTCTACCTTTCCACATTCACTAACTTGCAACATGACCCCAGAGAGAGGGGTTTTTTTGCTTGTGGTTTTGTTGTTGTTGGTTGATTGGCTTGGGGCTTTTTGTTTGTTTGTTTTAAAAAAAGCA